AAGTGGACATCAACATATCAACAATCATATTCCGCGTGGACGTTGTGGGTGTATGTGCGACACCGCTGCTCATGTACGAACACACCGTTGTAATTCTATACGCACACATGAACGTGCACACGCAGTCCTCTTATCTTAAATGCAGGGGAATGCTAGATTACAGGTGAAAGAGAGCACGAGTCAGACGAGTGGTAGGGGTAACTGACAGAGATCAGACCTGTTATTTTTTATATCTTCCCTTTAAATAAAGACCGATAATTTTTCGAATAAATTATTGCTGTTTAGCGCCACATGTATTATACCGTCTAGAGTGGTAATGAATTCCTTTAAATTTCCTCATTCCACACCCTCCAAGCTTCCACATGTACTGGTCTTTTTCAGTCTTTTGCCGGTGCTTTCACTTAACGTAATATTCTACAAAATATTGTAACACTGCACAATTTTTTTACTGCACAATTCTACATAATTCCATAACTCTGACCAAATGATCATGTTGTAGTCCAGCAACAGATTGAAGATTGATTGAATATCCAATAATCACCACCGAAAATTACCTTTTTAGCGCATTTTCTCATTTATGGAAAAAAGGCGCTATTGTGCTCGTCATGTCCGTCTGTCTGCCCGTCCGACCGTCCGTCCGTGACCACGTTTGCGTCGACGAGAAAATGTGCTCTCTGTCACTCGCTGCAGTGAGTACTGATTTATATTTTTAATTGGAATATCTGTTCGGTCTAATATCTCATAAACTCTACCAATGTAGTATAATCGGAGCAAACTGCTTTTTTTTATTCGGCGACAGGCCTATCCAGGCCTATTCCTTAAATGCCGAAAATACTATACTATACGTATACCTACTCACATTGCCATCTGCTCGGCATTCTGTGCATTGAAGAAACAACTGCTAAGATTGAAGCTCAATGTAGAGGAGAATTTATTTACATATATTATATATAGTTGATTGAACCTTCTCTAAGGCCCTCGATTTAGTAAACGCAGTTTGTCTCAAATGTTGAGTCGTACAAGAAAAATTAGATTCCCCACAACAACTATTAATCAAATTTTTGCGTTAGAATTCTCCAAGATTTCTTTTTCTGTAATGTAGTACCTGCTTCACTGCAATCCTCATCCGACTGGCAGGTTCTGGATGATAAAGATATGTTGTCTCTTTACACTTGAGTAGATGTTGGGGCAGCTGTGTTGTGCGTTGCTATATTCCTGGATAAATCAATTTTCTTGCGAGTGACTTCTATTCGCGTATTATCTTCTAAGTCGTTACTTTGGCTGAGAAATTTTACCTAGATTCATGTCTGCCACCAGATAACCATGTTTCTACACAGTACAGCGACCAAATAAAAGCTATAACATCTTATAGTCACCAACGAAAAAAGCAACTAATTACCATCTTTTATGGAGTTTCGTTGCAATGGCACAAACACTTGGTTGCCATGTGAAGTTGTGAACTATTTGAATATCTAGAGGTTCTCATGAGTAAACAATGGCTCAAGACTGTGTAAATACCGTGAAATTTCCTCATTCGAAATAGGTATTTACAATATACATTATTACATACATATATGAGAAATAAGTCATTAAGACGGCAGTATTTCGTGTTGGTGGAGGCACATCAACTGATGACGAAAATCAATGTTATGCGATTCACTATTTTAAAAGATCCTATATTCTTCCACCTTTCGTCTGGTTACTTTATGAAGTGGACATTTTTAAAGACCATTTCAAACTGTAAAAACTATATTCAAAAAGAGCTTTTTTGGATAGTATATATATCTAATTATTGGAGCTTCACTATCCAAGCTGCTTGTGGAACATGAAGCTTGCAGAAATAGCGTAGTTAGTATCAAGAAATTTTATCTTGTTCAGTAGTTATAATGTGGTGGCGAATAAATTGAGCAGCGTGTTGTCACATATGCGGAGACGGCGACAGCCATTACATTTTTGCCTCTCCATGAGAGAGATGTAGTCGTACAATGGACGAATGAAATCGTTGAAACACTGGCGTTGTTTCAACGTCATGGCCTGGAGGGTAATGCCCTAGTATTGATTCTTCCCTGATTATTATTGTAAAAACAGTTTGAATTAATATCATCAATACTAAACAGTAACTGGTAAGATTTAGTGATTCTTTGCCCAAATACCGATTCATTTTTTGCCCCTTGTATATGGGCCATCCTGACCCAATTAGGCTTGTCCTAAAGGTGATCGTGTAATAATATAATAATAATAAAAATATTACGCTGTACGCGTCCACCGCTGCTGAGGGTGTTAGCTCGTCAGTACCAGACTGCAACGCTGGCTTTCTTTTCCTCGTTGACACTCAACCAGGTCTCTAAAAAAATTCTACTACGACTTGCATATTTTGATTTTTCTTAGTTATGAGGCATTTTTGGCTATAATTCATTTCCAATTTGCCTATAAATATTTGGCTACTCGCGAAATAACCCCCAAGCTGAATTTTTAGCTTTAATTGTTCAAAATTTTTACATATATCCCTCGGATATTTCTTCTATCTATATCTCGGTTTGTTTTGACTACTATTTACAGTCTGACCACAAATTCATGTACAATGCTAAATAGCCTGGGTTAAATTTTTTACAAAGCCTGTAAAAGATATAGCCTGTCAGTCTTTTCCTGTATCTGCGTCTGGAAATGAGAGTTGAAGCTATTAGGTATTATTAACAGATTTGTATCTACGCTACATCACCGTCACCAGTGGAACAGTCATTCATCGACCGCAGTGTTTCAAAACTCATTTTTAATCCCTCAATACGGATATCCGATCCATCGACGAAAGATTTTCGGACCAGTTGGCGCAGGCACAATTATTGATAGCTTTTTTCTTGCGATCTGCATACACGAAGACAGCTCAATCACTATTTTGTTTGGATGCCAACGATTGCCAAAATTCCCTAGAGAAAGAATAAACATGTCCCTTGCCAAATAAAACTACGTATGAATTCTTTAATGTCTATTGTAACATTCTCCAGCCTCTAGTTCCCAAACCTTGATATTTTCAACACCAGTTAAAAATGTTTCGAAATTTAGTGACATGTTTTCAACGGCAGTTCTTGAGTGTTCCTTTTGCTGAAAACAGAATTTTTTATTTGTTTGCGAGAAGAGCACTTGTTCTCACCAAGGTCCTCAGTAACCAAATAACAACAGGAGATTGTAATTGAAACGATGCAATTATAAGTAAAATCTGACAAATATAATTAAATTAAATTAAAATTAAAAATTTTTTTAAAGACAACACTTCTAAAGAATACGTCTTCTATGTTACACATCTACAATGAATTTCTAATTTTATTTCCATATATTAAAAAATATAACTCAGTACTCACGGCAGTGAGTGACAGAGAGCGCATTTTCTCTTGCATAAATCAGTTTTCATTGCGATTAGTACAGTGTATTAGAGTTAGAGATGTCGTATCTTTGATACAGGCATGCCCGCTTCTTGAAATCGACTAAAACGTGAAGTCACGGACGGACAGACGGACAGACAGACAGACGGACATGGCGAGCACAATAGTGCATTTTTTCTATAAAGAGAAAATGCGCTAAAAAGTAATTAAAATCAATTGTAGTATTATCATTTGGAAAAAATTTAAATTTCCAAAATTATTTATTGTGTTAAATTGATTCATGCATTGTCTCCGAATTTACGCAAGTTTGCAAAATTTCAGATCGATTGGACAGGTAGAAGTATGTTGAATATCGATAATAAGATTTGTAGCAGACAAAATTATTTGTTAAATTTTTTATATTAAAAATTTTGTATATTACATATTTTGTCAAATGATTCATGCATTGTCTCCGACTTTGCGTAAGTGAGCAAAATTTCAGATCGATTGGACAGGTGGAAGGGCGTCAAATATTGATTGTAAGATTCGTAGCAGACAGACAAACAAACAAGGAGTGAAGTTAAAGAGTAGTGGTGTAAAAAAAATTATCGCCAGTCGAAAACGGTTGAGACAATGAAGATCATGGTAAACAAATCTGTACCTCAACATGAAGATAAAAATGAAAACTAACTAAGGCCCGAAAATTAATAGTAAGATGGAAAGTCAGCAACATAGGCACGCTTACAGTATCACAATTGGTGATCAGGACCGCCTGGACAACGAAGTCCATACACGATTGCTGCAAGCGTCCACTTCCCGACAGTGCCCACACAATTTTTTCCACACTTTGACACTTCGACTTACGGAAAGGATTTTTTCGAAGAAATTAATGATACAATAATTTTTCAGCACCGTATAGTTCTCGACGTGCACGTAGTTCAGCGCCACGTTGTTTATCGTAACTTGCACAATTACAACTCTTGTATTTTGTAAATTTTAAGTATGATTATATCACGTTAATGAGCTTCTTTTTGCGCAACAAATCATCTGAACTACTCTATGTGATAAAAATAAAAAATGTTATATTTGAATAACACTAATCGAACGATCTTTTGACTTGAGTTTGTAGAGAATGTTATGCCAAAACGTTAGAAATTGACAAAGTTGCATACTAAGTGCACAAGTGTTCGAACAATCTCAGGAAAAACGAAACAAGCGATGGCAACTATTCTTTCACTTTTGAGGACGCCGTTAAGAACATTACTCCAATAGAAATAAAAGACTTGCTCGGCATTTCTCAAGACACTACTCTTGGGGTGCAACTGTCATAAGGGCTTCTAGCGTACAAGTTGCGCCGCTTGTTTGGAACGTCGAAATGTAGTCACGCCAGTGTATCTCTTGCTAGGCTTGGTAGATTGGCTCTCAGGCTTCTGTTCTCAATGGCTTCGAGTGTTGTCCGTAATGCGTTGGCCGAAAATGATGTTGAAACTTACCCGTTGGCATCAAATACCTTCCCAAAAAGCTCAGATTGGTAGTTAAATGTGAGCAAAACCCAATGTCCCAGAGCATGCCCTTGATGTCCTTGAGCACTTTTTGTATGTATGTCAATGAGCATATCCTACATGATCGAAAATATTGTACATATTAATCCTTGGGTCTGATCATGAGGGTGAGTTGAGTGACTTGCGTCTGGTAGACAGTATTCCAGGCCAAGAAAGCTCCAGCGGTAACCTCGGCATGCCTGTCGCCGGCCCACACGCCTGTAGGGTTCGCTTTATAGCAGCTGTGGTACCACCAGCCACCGCCACCGTGCCTCTCCGAGCAGCTTCCGTCTGAAGAATCGAGAATTTCATTTAGTTAATCCGACTTGGACATCACAGTTAAGTAGCTGCCATTCAAAAGTCACTTATATAAAACTTGTCAACAACTCTTGTTATGTTCTTTAGTTAGGATCCTACGTTCATTATTGGTAAGCCCATTTATTTTTAGGAAATTATTTGTTTTGCAATGAGAAATTTCAGACACGGCGTTATATCTATAGTTATAACCCTGCGAAATTCAAGGCAAGAAGATGTATGAAGTTTTTTCAGTGTCATGATGAGTTTTCCTACAGATATTGTTACGATGTTCTGTAGTTTACTTTAGTGAAATGCAATGCGGCAAACAGACACTGATCTTGGCGTCATCTTACGTCATGTGTACGTCATATGACGTTATAATAAGACTTTTTCGCGAGTTCTCTTCATTGATGTGAGTTTTTTATGCTTTAAATGAAGATCATGTTCATTTAAAAAAATGAATTTAAATCTATTACTAATATTAATTGCATAAAAATGATAGAGTAAATAGGGGTTGAATTGTTCCCTGCATATTCATCATTGACATCGCCATTGATGAGGCACGGAACTTTCAACCTGGTAACTTCATAATGAATAATACCGTTGCGATCATTACCAGTACCGATACCTCCACAATGCACAATACATTAGCGATCATTACCAGTACCTGATACCTCCACAATGCACAATACACTTGTGATCATAACCAGTATCCGATAACTTCACAATGGCCTTCCTATCTCTTCTTTTCAGTGCCTTCACTCATGCGGTAGTGCTGGTGTGTGACGTGGTGTGTGAGAGTAAGGGTCATACTTCGAATGTTCATGATTTATTGAATATGAGTAGATAAGCCGTCCTAATTTTGCTCGATCTCACCGCCTAAATCACGATCACGATCGATGGTCGAGAACTGCTTGCCGTCGAGGTAGGAGAGGGGGTCGCCGGCAGAGCTGCCCTCGGCGTCGTAGCCGCGGACCCTCAGTGTGTAATTTTTACCGTCTTCCACTCTGGTGGAACAAATTAAACGCATAATTCCCTATGAAGAACATCGATCTGGATAACTTTACGATTTTTTCGTGTTAAGCAAACATTTTATATATTTAAAATAATCAGTCGTAGTTGTATATCTTAGATTCAAGCGGATCCACAGAAATTAATTCATTCAAAATCTGAACGAAATTTACTAATGAAAAAATTACTTTTGGACCCAACATTCACTCTGTACCACATATTCTTTCTGTACCTCAATACTCCCTCTGCACCACAACACTCCCTCTGTGCCCCATCACTTCCTCTATACCACAACACTCCCTCTTTGCCACAACACACCCTCTGTACCACAGCACTCCCTCTGTAAGGGAAATCCCTACGAATGAAATGTGATAAAATCATAATCGGGATTTGCAATATACTCGAAGCTTACACCACCTCGAAAAGTAGGCTACATATATCTTCCCACCCCGATCAGGTTGCACACATCACCCCACCTGGAAGAGTAGGATGCACATATCACCCTACCTGGAAGAGTAAGTTGCCTACATCACCCTACCTGGAAGTGTAGGTTGCATACATCACCCTACCTTTAACATTAGGTAGCATACATCACCCTACATGGAAGAGTAGATTGCATACATCACCCTACCTGGAACAGTAGGTTTCATACATCACCTACCTGGAAGAGTAGATTGCATACATCACACTACCTGGATGCGTATGTTGCTTACTTCACCCTACCTGGAAGAGTAGGTTGCATACATCACCCTACCTGGATGCGTATGTTGCTTACTTCACCCTACCTGGGAGAGTAGGTTGCATACATCACCCTACCTGGATGAGTATGTTGCTTAC